TTTATAATCGTACATGTAAGATGGTAAAAGCTCTACTTCCTACAGTTAAAGGCTGTCAATGGACAAAATGTACCTGACACAATTTATGTGCCAGTGCTTGTATATATTAGACAGGGAATAGATAAAAAGGGAGCATCCTCCCTCAAGTACTTGACAAGTAACTAGGTATCAAAAATAGGTGCCCATCATTATCTCTTATCATTTAAATGTTAAATGCTACTAGGACAGAGTGACTTTCTCTGACTGATGATGCAAAATGTTGATATTTTTATTAAAGGAGGAGTGTGGGGAGCAACTGGGAGCAACTCGGACTAGACTAAGTTACTGGAATTAAGACTTATTCTATGCATCTGCTCTCCCACAATATGGCGCTGGGAGAGGAGGAAACAGCTTCTACACAGCTGCCTCCAGTTCAACCAATAAACAGCAGGACCTGCTCCTGATTGGAGGAGAGCAGCGTACTCGGCATGTGGGTAGCAGAGTTGGGATTGGTGGAAGAGGACTATAAAGGAGGAGAGAGACAACATGCACCAGGAACATCTATCTGAAGGAACACCTGTGCAGCCCCCGAGAGAGCCGGCCGGCGGTGTGCCGCTCCCCCGTGGAAGTGGGGAAAGTGGCAGGGGGAACCGCCCTTCCACGGAGGTGGAAGGGTCGGTAGCCAACCCGGGAAGAACCAGCAGCAAACCCGGGGAGGGCCGAGCAGACCAAAGAACAGCGCAGGGTCCTGTGTCGTTCCTCCACGAAGAGGGGGAGCGACAGAGGACATAACATTGTTTGCTACAGTAGAGCCGGGATTAAGCAGGGAAATTGGGTTTTGAGAATGCTCAGTAGTACTGTAATGCATTTAAATCTTTTCAAAAATACCTTGTGGTAGGTTATATTATTTGTTTAATTCTTCATTCATTCTCGAGCTGTTTTTTCTGGTGGTTAGAATGTTCTTCTGTATGGTGCTGTCTAACACCAAGTATATCATTGCAACACCAACCATTCTGCAATGTTCCAACACTAAGTTGGTGTCCAAGAGTTCAATTCAGTTTGGACACTAACTACCTTTAGTTAGTGTAGACTCCTCAGGTTAAGGGGTCAGTCCCACAAAATTGCCCCTACTTTAGACACCATGTGTCCCAGGCTACTCACACTTCGACCCACAGACTTCCAATTCTGAGGTTATAATAACTGTTTACCATCAGTTTCCATAATTTGTTAGAAGTACTCACCAAAGCTAGTGGTTTAGTTATGATTGGTGGTGTATTATAAAGGATAAATTTATGAACAGCCAAATAAGAGAGATATATAGGGGTGAGTGTTGTGATACAGCGGATTGAGCTGGGGCTTGGGATTCTTGCGTCCCATATTGGAGGGCCTGCTTGGAGTCCTGGCTGTTCTGCGCTTCTGATCCAGAATCCAGCTGGTGCACCATGGAGGCAGCCAAACACGGTCCAAGTGCTTGAGTTTCTGCTGCTCACAGAGGAGACCTAGATCGAGTTCTTGACTGCTGACTATGGCCTGGCTCAGCCGTGACTGCTGCAAGCATTTGGGGAATGAACAGGGGATGGAAGATCGATCTCTGTCTCTGTCTGTCTGTCTGTCTCTCTCTCTCTCTCTGTCACTCTACCTTTTAAATAACATTTAAAAAGGGAGATTTAGGGCAAAGTATGGGTGTGAAGGTAAAGAACAATCTGAGAATGTTACTTCCCCTCCCACTGATGTGTTCATCAACCTAGGAGTTCTCCTAACTATCATTTAGGGAGTTTTTATGGGGGGATGATTGATAAAATCATTGGGCATTGGTAATAAGATTCTATCTTCAGCTGCATTGAGATTTGTTTTTTCTGGCAAATGCTCTATATTCTGAAGTTATCTAGTCCCTGGTCCCATAAGACATCTTAGCAGCATACAGAATATAGGAAATTATAAGCGTTTCAGGAGCTCTATGCCATGAACCAAGGGCAAAGATTGAACACTTAATTTGTTTAATGATACAATACCTTCTATGCCCCAGTGACTTTGGGTTTGGTCTGTGACTTTCTCGGACCAATGAAATGTGGGCAACAGTGATATCCTGCTAGTTCCAGGCAAAGGACCTAAGAGAGAGGAATCCCACATCACTGCTCACCCTCTTTGAGTTTCCATTTTGCACATGGCCTAACGGTGGCTGCTTCTTGAGGCTGGTATCCAGACGAGTATGTGTACAGCAACCTGAGCCTACACAGGAAGCTAAACCCATACAAGCTCAGTTGAGTTCAATAGACTCACAGCCAATCCACAAACCCATGAGCAAGAAATAACTGTTTGTGTTATAAATTATTGGAATGTTGGATTTGTTTGCTGCCACAGAATTTGTCACATAAATACATCAGCATATATTACTTCATGTTTATTCTTTGCTTATTGCTAAATTTTGAACACAGTTGTTTAACATGTTGGAAATAAACCATTTTTCACTAAGAAGTGGCTTCCATTTAGATTCCTCTTTGCAACTTAAAAGACGCCGGTGTAATTTTCTCCTATGGATTCAGGCCCTCTTACGTCCACAAAGGCCTGGAAATTAAAGGAATAAATAAGTAGGATACCTGTGGGGCAAAATTCAACGCAGACTTTGCAAAATCCAATATGCCTGAAAAATATGTTCCTTGAGTTGATCAGCTCAAATGCCACTGGCTTTCTCCATCCCTGGTTGATAGTACATTACATTCAGACCTCATCAGAAATGCAGCCAGCCTGCAATTCACAACTGCACACACTGAGGCATGGTCCCCAGTGGGAGACGCCTCACAGAACATAGTCACCTCTCGACTAAGGATGGCTAGTTAGGGGTGACAGCTTTAAAAAAGAAAAAGAGGGAAAGAAGTGATATGTAGGCTGAAGAAATATATGTAGGAAAGAATCAAGGAGATAAGGAAAATAATAAAGAAAAAACAATCCTACCAAAAAAAAAACCAGATTTTTTTGCTGATTCTGTAAGAAAATGAATACAGGAGAGGCAATCCCTTTGGCCCACACTGTGGGTTTTTTTTTTTTTTTTTAAGATTTTGTTTATTTATTTGAGAGGCAGAGAGGGAGAGAGTGAGAGACAGAGAGAGGTCTTCCACCTACTGGTTCACCCCTGAAATGGCTGCAATGGCCTGAGTTTTGCCAATCCAAAGCCAGGAGCCAGAAGCTTCTTCTGGGTCTCCCATGTGGGTGCAGGGGCCCAAGGACTTGGGCCAACATTTTCTGCTTTTCGAGGCTGTTTCCAGAGAGCGGACTTGGAAGAGGAGCAGATGGGATGTGAACCAGGGCCCATATGGGATGCTGGTGCTGCAGGCAGAGGCTTAGCCTACTATGGCTCACACTCTTGACATTGATCTTCCCTCCCTTCTCCTTAACCCTAAGATTCATAACAGCTAAGGAAAAGCCATAATATTAAGATTATGAAATAGATTTCCTTCTTGACGCATTGTTAATTATAGTTTTTATTAACTTGCTGGTGGATATCTGGGATCAAACCTGAAAATTGTGTTGAGGCAAAATGCTCGATTTCAAAGATTTCAGTCCATAAATAGCTGAATTTCAATATACCCAGCTTAATTGTCTTCTCTTTGAAACCCATTATGTCCTTTAATGTAATGCAACATTTAGTTGTTTTTATTTTTAGTAATCTCTGTGGGTGTCTGGAGAATTTAATTTTCAAGCTAGTTTCAACTTGAGCTATTAACTTTAAAAATTTTTGTTTTCCTGGGGTGAGCCTTTAACCTACCAGTTGAGATGCCTATATTGGAGTGTCTAGGTTCAATTCCCAGCTCTGGCTCCTGACTCCAGTTTGCTGATAATGCCTATCTTGGGAGGCATCACACATAGCTCAAGTAATTGAGTTCCTGCCAGCCCAAATTAGAGATCCTGACTGAGTTCCAAGCTCTTAGTTTCTTAGTTTCAGCCTGGCCAACTCCTGCCTTTGCTGGCATCTAAGGAGTGAACCAGCATAAGAGTGCATTCTTTCTCTCTCTCTCCCTCTCTCTTTCTCCCTTTCTCTCTCCCTCCCTGTATCAAATAGAGGAATTAAAGGTTATATATATATATATATATGTGTGTGTGTGTGTGTGTGTATATATATATATAGTCTGAGTTTTGGTTGCTGAAATACTTGCTGCAGCTTAGCAGGTTTACATGGGATGATTTCTGTGAGTGATCATCTACTAGGAAGTGGCTACCTCTGGACTGCAGACACATCCAATTCTACCACTGTTTGGCTTTCTGAGCAAGTTTTGAATAAAATGTCTTAGGAAAGTGATTTATACCTTTCAATGCCATCACACTTAATGCAATAGAGGAACATCTTGATCACTGCAATAAATTTAAAGACCTTCCTTCCTAAGGTGGAGATGTTCACTGTTGACGGACATCACATCACACTGGGCTTATGCTTGCACTTTACTTTCAAGCTCTTTCCTTTAGGAAACAATGGAATCTTGTAGGATCCTCCTTCCTCCTAGTTATTCTTAGAATATTACCTCTTGATGGCCAGCGCCACGGCTCAATAGGCTAATCCTCTGCCTGCGGCGCCAGCACCCCAGGTTCTAGTCCTGGTTGCCCCTCTTCCAGTCCAGCTCTCTGCTGTGGCCCAGTAGGGCAGTGGAGGATGGCCCAGGTCCTTGGGCCCTGCACCCGCATGGGAGACCAGGAGAAGTACCTGGCTCCTGGCTTCGGATCAGTGTGGTGTGCTGGCCACAGCGGCCATTGGAGGGTGAACCAATGGAGAAAGGAAGACCTTTCTCTCTCTCTCTCTCTCACTGTCCACTCTGCCTGTCAAAATAAATAAATAAATAAAAATTATAAAAAAGAATATTACCTCTTGATACAACGAAGTGATGTACGTCTGAGATGATAGGACAATCACATCGATCTGCTTATTACACAATGCGTGCATGAATTGAAATGCAACATTGCACCTTGTAAAATGTGTACAGTTAAGTTACACTTAATTTAAAAAAAAGGAAAAAGAAAGAGACAAAACTCACCCAGGGCAGCCATGGGAAGCAGCAGGTTAAGCTGTTGCCTGCGATGACAGCGTCCTGTATCAGAGGCCAGATCAAGTCCCAGCTGCTCTGCTTCCAATTCGGCTCACTGCTAATGGTCTGCACAAGCAGCAGAGGATGGCCAAAGTGCTTGGGCTTCTGCCATCCACATGGAAGACCAGGAGGAAGTTTCAGGCTCCTGGCTTTAACCTGGTCCAGCCCTGGCCATTGTGGCCATTCGGGGAATGAAACAACAGATGGAGGATCTCTTTTCTTTCTGTCTTTCCCTCTATCTTTGTCAATCTGCCTTCCAAACAGACCAAATAAATCTTTAAAAAAATTTTAAAAATCATAACCTGTCTACAGACAACCTTGAAAAGCCTGCATCTTGTAAAACAAGCCTCCCTTTTGCATACACACACACACATACACACACACACACACACACACACACACACACACGTGGGGATCGGGACGCCGACCCCACAAGATGGCGCCGGGAGGAAGTGAAACCGCAAGTGCCGTAAACAGGAAGACCGATCGGAGGACTGTGTTGCGAGCCTGCCTGCCGCGTGATACTCCAGCTGATTGGCCAAGAAACGCATGCACGCGCGTGGACCAGAGTCTGATTGGAGTGCTTCACACATGGACTTTAGCTTGCCTGTGATTGGCTGTTAGCGCTATATAAGCTGGGTGCTGCGGGAAGTAGGGGCTTTTTCTTCTTTCTCTTTCCCCGTGTACCCATGGCTGTTTTTCTTAATAAAAGTCTACGGAAGACCGATAATCTGCGAGAAGCATCATTCCTTTGCGGGCAAAGGTGCAACACACACGTGCATGCTCTACCTGTTGGAAGATATTCTGCTATTAAACCCATGCAAAGGAACAAACATGGAGTTAAGTGTCAGATCTCGAGGAGTGGCATATACACCAGCCTTTCCTATCGCCTGACATTTCCCAGGCTTGAGAGAGGGACGAATGGGAAAACAGCCCTTATCCCACTACCACGCAGGAGGACGCGGAGAGAACGAAAGCTTCTGCTGGATGCTCCCACACCGTGCTCCCTGCGTCGTCTTCCCGTGGCAAGCACAGATCATTAACATTGGTAATGTCCTCGCTAAATCTGCTTGGAGAAAGTGACAGGTCTAATTTGTTACTGACAGACTGACGTCTGGGAGTACATCGACAATGCACTGCTCTTGCTCACAGCCACTTGGCATTGCTGTGTGGGTTCTGGCAGGCAGGCCTGGTACTTGGTTAGAGTCCCTGTGGTTTCATCCATCTCCACGGAGGCCTCCCCCGGGCAGGACCTGTGCCCCAGGTCCCCTTTCTTCCTTCAGTCATGGGAATAGCCCCTGTCAGCACGCCTGGCGGGGCTGTGATTTGAAATTCACAGCATGGGGAGGGACTCCAGACGCAAGTAATTACCATTAATAATCAATAGCGTTCAGCCCAACAAATAATTGTGACGGATCTGAATAAGATTAAAGTTGATCTCTGAGACATGCGGATGTGGCGGTGACATGTGTTTTTTTTTTTTTGGGGGGGGTGGATTTTTTTTAACTGGCAAACATATTGGAGGCACCATTGTGATATGTCTCAGAGTGATTTTAAATTAAACTAGCTGTAGCTGAAAAGTGTGACGCCAGTGGGGTCTGTGAGGCATAGAATGACTTCACCTCCTTAAGGAAAACCTTACAGCATGACCTATGACCTGAATTTAGAGTAAAATGAGATCTGTGTGAAAGAAGGCGATAGGCTGATCTCAATGCCAACTAAATTCAGATAAACGAAAATTAATTATCAATGCCCTATGTAATATTTAGACTACATATGACACAGGCTTCCCCCACACTACAGATGGTTAGCTTAGGTAAGAAGCCACAGAGGGCAAAGATCAACAGGAGAACAGCTACTTGCCCCTACATCACATGTGTCCCTTCTCACTAGAAATAGGAGGACTGAGTTTTTGAAAGCCATCCATAGAAATCTGGGAACTTCAGAATTTAGACATGTGGGACCCAAAATGTCCAAGAAACAAGTGTCAGCTGGGATACATGAGTAGGTGGGATATAATTTAACGCTAAATTCATGTTGTCTTTTGATTTCACATTTACTTCTCTTTTAATTTAGTGCCAGTGGCTTTCTGGTTTACTTGTAGCAGGTCAGGCTCTTCTTGACTCCTATGCACCCTGGGAGTGGAATACAAACCCTTGAGAGGTGAGTGGCTGATAACAGGCCAGGTACCTTGGTGCATGCATTACCTCACACAGTTTTCTGTATGTTCAGATATTTGCATCACTACCTCAATTTTAGATAAGAAACCTAAAATTCTAAATAGTAGATTTGGAATGTCAGAAGCTTGGAGACTGAACTGGAGAAAAATTAAGGCTACCTGAGGGGGTGACGCTGTGGCATAGTGGGTAAAGCAGCCGCCTGCAGTGCCAACTTCCCATAGGGGTGCCTGTTGGAACAGATCGCTGCTTGGATCCTTCCAGAACCAGAAATGCTGCCCCTACCTCCTGTCTTCCCAGAGCACTGTGGTAGCCGAGTGACCTAGTACTACTTGACGAAAGGCCTGGAATGTGAGAAGTTGGGTGCGGGCAGCTCTTGGGCAGATGAGAAGGGCAAACTTTCTCATGGCCCTAAGATCCTTAGATGCCAGCCCTCTCTTTTTAAAAAATATTTTATTTTTAATTTTATTTATTTGAAAGGCGGAGTGAGGTGAGAGAGAGAGAGAGAGAAAGAAGGGGGAGAGAGAAGGGGGAGAGAGAGAGAGAGAGATCTTCCACTCACTGGGTCACTATCCAAATGACAGCAACGGCAGGGGCTGTGCTAGGCTGAAGACAGGAACTCAGAACGCCAGTCATGCCTCCCACGTGGGTGGCAGGGGGCCAAGTAATTGGGCCATCAGCTGCTGCTTTCCCAGGTAAATTAGCAGGCAACTGATTTGGAAGCAGATCAGCTGGGACTCAAACTGCCATTCACACAGGATAACAGCATCGCAGGTGATAGCTTACCCTGCTGCACCACAGTGCTGGCCCCATCAGCACTCAATTTCTACTTCATTTTTTGGTAGATTACATTTTCCTGTAAGCTGTCAATACAAGAGGGGAGGATCTTACAGTATGAATTATTTTGCTGCCTCATATAGTGACCATAAACTATCTTCAAATTCTATCCCATCTGCAAATACCACACCAGCAGTAGGGGGCAACTCAGTGGCCTGGATGTGTTCTCAGAGTCAACATTAACCATTTTTGTGACCCCCCAAGTTAACCACACTGCTCTTGTGGATCTCAAATTGCACATCTTTAAAAGGAAGATCCGTGGGGGAAAGGTCTGATATCTCCTGTTCTCCTAAGTTACCGTGTTGTGAGGATAGGCGCGAGCCCCTTCCCCATCCAGCCACAGCATCACCCAGCAGAGGCTTGGACCCCAAGAGCAGGAAACCTCCTTGCTCTGCGTGGGGTGCTGGAGCTCTGCCCTCTCGGCCCTTTGCCCAGCCAGGGGCACATTCGTCAGCAAAACTCTGCCTGCAAATGTCCTTTAAATGGTTCTTGCGTTTGCTCTGTTTAGGCCGGTGCCGCGGCTCACTAGGCTAATCCTCCGCCTGCAGCACCGGCACCCAGGGTTCTAGTCCCCATGGGGCACCGGATTCTGTCCTGGTTGCTCCTCTTCCAGGCCAGCTGTGTGCTGTGACCAGGGAGTGCAGTGGAGGATGGCCCAAATACTTGGGTCCTGCACCTCCTGGGAGACCAGGAGAAGCACCTGTCTCCTGCCATCGGATTAGCGCGGTGCGCCAGCCGCAGCGGCCATTGCAGGGTGAACCAATGGAAAAAGAAGACCTTTCTTTCTGTCTCACACACACACTGACTAACTCTGCCTGTCAAAAAACTAAAAAGCAGTTATTGCTTTGAGTCTATTCTGCATGCTCAGTTTTCTGCTACAGATCATGTTTTAAGTGGAGAGATGTTGATTTTCGAGAATAAGTATAAATGTAGGTGCACTACGTGGAGACCATCTTTATATTCATGGGTAAATTTGTGACTCTGCATATTAATGATAGCATTATTCAAGTAGTTCTACAGATGAGGATAGAGACTGTGTGTATAAGTCATTTAAAGTTCATTTGAGTAGAAAATATTTAGATAAACCAATAGCAGAATTTCAGCAAAAGCAACATTAATTCAGAAATCCTTATCGTCTTTACCTTACTGCCTGAACTCTGTAGCACTCAACAGACAAAAATTGCACTGCAATGGCAATGGACGAAGCAAGGCAAGTGGAACAAAAGAAAGCTTCAATCTGCATGCATGGGAGTCAGCACCATACTCTCCAACACTTTTGTAAGAGGCGTAAGAAGGGCAAGAGCAATGAGGAGGTCAAGAGCAGGTGCCGGTTCTGGCTTCCTCTTCTCCAGGAGCACACAGGACAGACACAAAGTCTGGGTTACAACAGTTCCAAGGCCTCCTTCCTCAGTCTTTGATCTGATTTTTCATTTCTCCCATTTATTGTTTAAAAGTGATTTTTCAATAGGATATTTTAGAAGGTCAGTTGTTGATATTCAACCCCTTGCATGGGATCGTTTTAGTGTAACAGGTTACCTGAAGTGTGGTCCAGGCCACACGTGGACAATATTTTTTTCTGCAAAGATCCAGGTAGTACATATTTAGGTTCCTGGAGACTGCATGGTCTCTGGCACAACTTGTCAACATAATCAGTGCACTGCAAGAAAAGGCACAGAGACCAGTCATGAAGGAATGAATGTGGCTGTATTCCAATGAGCCTTTATTTGCAAAAGTGAGTAGCAGAGCGTGTTCAGCCTGAGAGCCATTGTTTGTTGAATCCTGTTCTAGGATTTGGTGTTTCTCCAACTTTAGTGTACATCAGAATTATCCAGAAGGCTTCACAAAGCATGGGCAGTCCATTTCACTGCAGGGTGTCTGATCAAGGTCTGAGGTAGGGCCGGGGGATTCACACTGTCTCCTCCTTGATTTCACAGGTGAGGAAACTGAGGCATGGAGGCTGATGGGCTGTGGTTACCCAGATACGCGAGAGCACCGTCAGAGCGTCCTGATTCAGAACAGACGCTTTGACCATCGTCCTGATTTTCACTCTTGAAGAGCCCCTGCATCTCTAGGTCCCGTGTGAAATTCTTTGTTCTAATTGGTTGCCAGACTTGCTGAAAAAACTGGGAGCACATTATCTAAGGGGAAAGAGTATACAGCTGGGGCAACAATGGCTGACAAATCAGAAGACCTGATTGCAAGACATGGGACCATGGACTGGCCATTGAGCCTTCATGTTTTCAATGGTAGAGCCAGTAGAAAATACTTCGAATATGGGCTAATGTTTGCTCTACTTCCTTTCCAGGGCATTCGTATGCAAGTGAGGACATCTGCCATGCAGACTGAAGAGTGAGGCAAAGACTCCTTTCTCAGAGGGTCTCAGGGCTGGCAGCTCACCAGTACTGGGGTCCAGCCACTGGGTCTTGAGACCATGGAGGGTCAATAGGTATTTGAATTAAAAAAAAAAATTCTTAGCCTACATTTCTTTAGATTCTCCCTAACTGGAAGATGGTTTTTTTTCAACTCTAAGTGGAACTAAAGCCTACAGATGGTGGCAGGTGAAGGCATTGAGCTGTCGTTCTATGGTTAATCCAGGGAGAGGCATTCCATGATTCCTGTTAAATTGGCTCCTGTTGAATAAATTGCTTTGAGATAATAATGGGTAAGAATTTAAGAGAATTTAAAAAATATATGTAGAAGTT